TTGGTGAATGATTGATACAAGACAATAGTTGCAATTTGATTTTTCTCTCAATTCCCCTAAAAATCTTTCCTGAAACACAGTGAATGCTCATATTTTTGGTTGACCATTCCTTATAATATTAAATATTTATTTACATTTAATTGAAATGAGGCTGAGAAAATGAGGCATATGTTTTCAATATATTCTTTACTTCTCAATCTAATTATGTGGTTTTAATTCTTTTTTGTTTTAAAATTAAAAATACCACAACAAAATACAATTTCAATATTTAACATTTATTGATTTATGGTTTTGAATATATGCATACAAGTTTGAACATCAGACAAACATTTCCCAATTCTTCCATCCTGGCGCACATCAACATGCTACATTGCACACAAAAATGTGTGAGGTGCAAGTTTCAAGCGACGATGAGAAGAAAAACCTTTTTTTTTTTAGCCTTGTGTATCTGTGTATCCATTTTGCTCTACACCTCTGTCAGGAAATGCTTGTAATTTGTAACAGACATGGTTTCTAAATTCATGGCAAGTAAGCATAATTTTGGTCAGTGTTAAAAGGGCAATCTACTGAGTGTCACATGACACTGTTTGAACCAATGAAAGAATAGTATGAGTGTGTGTTGTGTTATAAATTATTTTTGGCAGTACTTACTGAAAAGTCTATGCAATAAAAACATCATTTGCACCATCAAATAAAATCTGGGATTCATTAAATTATATGTGAGACGTTCAATGCATGGTTTGGTGTAACCCTCCCAAATATATGCCATCCCTCTAGTGACAAAACATACATTTTTTATTTCCTTGCAGACTGATATAATGCGCATAATGATTGAAAAAAGTGATCAATGTTGTAACAAAGCATACACACTTGCAATGAGACATATCAGACATAAACCCAGGTAGGACACTATCCTTGGTCTGCTGATCATCGTCCATTATTGCAGTACAGTCTTCTGTTGCCCATCAATTATGATTTAAAATTTATCTGCTGCCTGCCATCCATGATTTGAAGCAGTCTTTTGCAAATTTGTCCAGAAATTTGACCAGCGATTTGTTTTAATTCCAGTTCTGCAACAGAATTTTTGCCTGCATTCATGAAATGTCTTGACAGTCATGATCATACTATTGTTAATACTGCCTTGAGAAATCTGCCAGAATTTGCACTCCTATGCCAAGGTGAGTCTAGTGAGTCTGCCCATCTATGCCAATGTGAGTCTAGTGAGTCTGCCCATCTATGCCAATGTGAGTCTAGTGAGTCTGCCCATCTATGCCAAGGTGATTCTAGTGAGTCTGCCCATCTATGCCAATGTGAGTCTAGTGAATCTGCCCGTCTATGCCAATGTGAGTCTAGTGAGTCTGCCCATCTATGCCAATGTGAGTCTAGTGAATTTGCCCATCTATGCCAAGGTGAGTCTAGTGAGTCTGCCCATCTATGCCAAGGTGAGTCTAGTGAGTCTGCCCATCTATGCCAAGGTGAGTCTAGTGAGTCTGCCCATCAATGCCAATGTGAGTCTAGTGAATCTGCCCATCTATGCCAATGTGAGTCTAGTGAGTCTGCCCGTCAATGCCAATGTAAGTCTAGTGAGTCTGCCCATCAATGCCAATGTGAGTCTAGTGAGTCTGCCCATCTATGCCAATGTAAGTCTAGTGAGTCTGCCCATCTATGCCAATGTGAGTCTAGTGAATCTGCCCATCTATGCCAATGTGAGTCTAGTGAGTCTGCCCATCTATGCCAATGTAAGTCTAGTGAGTCTGCCCATCTATGCCAATGTGAGTCTAGTGAATCTGCCTGTCTATGCCAAGGTGAGTCTAGTGAGTCTGCCCGTCAATGCCAATGTGAGTCTAGTGAGTCTGCCCATCTATGCCAATGTGAGTCTAGTGAGTCTGCCCGTCAATGTGAGTCTAGTGAGTCTGCCCATCTATGCCAATGTGAGTCTAGTGAATCTGCCCATCTATGCCAACGTGAGTCTAGTGAGTCTGCCCATCTATGCCAATGTGAGTCTAGTGAGTCTGCCCGTCAATGTGAGTCTAGTGAGTCTGCACGTCAATGCCAAGGTGAGTCTAGTGAGTCTGCCCGTCAATGCCAATGTGAGTCTAGTGAGTCTGCCCGTCAATGCCAATGTGAGTCTAGTGAGTCTGCACATCAATGCCAATGTGAGTCTAGTGAGTCTGCCCGTCAATGCCAATGTGAGTCTAGTGAGTCTGCCCATCTATGTCAATGTGAGTCTAGTGAATCATCTATATCAATGTGAGTCTAGTGAGTCTGCCCGTCAATGCCAATGTGAGTCTAGTGAGTCTGCCCGTCAATGCCAATGTGAGTCTAGTGAGTCTGCCCGTCAATGCCAATGTGAGTCTAGTGAGTCTGCCCGTCAATGCCAATGTGAGTCTAGTGAATCTGCCCATCTATGCCAATGTGAGTCTAGTGAGTCTGCCCATCTATGCCAATGTGAGTCTAGTGAATCTGCCCATCTATGCCAATGTGAGTCTAGTGAGTCTGCACATCTATGCCAATGTGAGTCTAGTGAGTCTGCCCATTAATGCCAATGTGAGTCTAGTGAGTCTGCCCGTCAATGCCAATGTGAGTCTAGTGAGTCTGCCCGTCAATGCCAATGTGAGTCTAGTGAGTCTGCCCGTCAATGCCAATGTGAGTCTAGTGAGTCTGCCCGTCAATGCCAATGTGAGTCTAGTGAGTCTGCCCGTCAATGCCAATGTGAGTCTAGTGAGTCTGCCCATTAATGCCAATGTGAGTCTAGTGTGTCTGCCCGTCAATGCCAATGTGAGTCTAGTGAGTCTGCCCATTAATGCCAATGTGAGTCTAGTGAGTCTGCCCGTCAATGCCAATGTGAGTCTAGTGAGTCTGCCCATTAATGCCAATGTGAGTCTAGTGAGTCTGCCCGTCAATGCCAATGTGAGTTTAGTGAGTCTGCACATCAATGCCAATGTGAGTCTAGTGAGTCTGCCCATCTATGCCAATGTGAGTCTAGTGAGTCTGCCCGTCAATGCCAATGTGAGTCTAGTGAGTCTGCCCGTCAATGCCAATGTGAGTCTAGTGAGTCTGCACATCAATGCCAATGTGAGTCGAGTCTAGTGAGTCTGCACATCAATGCCAATGTGAGTCGAGTCTAGTGAGTCTGCCCGTCAATGCCAATGTGAGTCTAGTGAGTCTGCCCGTCAATGCCAATGTGAGTCTAGTGAGTCTGCCCGTCAATGCCAATGTGAGTCTAGTGAGTCTGCCCGTCTATGTCAATGTGAGTCTAGTGAGTCTGCCCATCTATGTCAATGTGAGTCTAGTGAATCATCTATATCAATGTGAGTCTAGTGAGTCTGCCCGTCAATGCCAATGTGAGTCTAGTGAGTCTGCCCGTCTATGTCAATGTGAGTCTAGTGAGTCTGCCCATCTATGTCAATGTGAGTCTAGTGAATCATCTATATCAATGTGAGTCTAGTGAGTCTGCACATGAATGCCAATGTGAGTCTAGTGAGT